TTTGGATTACTAACTTAAGCAGGGGTAGAACACTTTAAAGTGTTTTATCTGCTTGCAAAATAAATGATCAAGACACTACCTCAGTAAGGGATAGAAGACTCCCTACGATCCCAGCTCAAGCTGCCCCCCAACCCGCCCCACTAAGCCAGTCTGATCCCCCTGGTCCTTCCCGACCCCCACAGCCCTGCCCGCCCCACTAACCCAGCCTGGATTCCCTGATCCTTCCCGAACCTCCTATTGCCGAACCTTCCCCGAAGCTGCCCCACTAACCCAGTCTGGATCCCACAATCCTTCCCTGCTCCCAGTTACTCATTTTGGTTGCCTTTGTACCCTTCAACCCCATCCAAACTTCGCCTCAGCCTGTCCCCCCCTCCTTAGTTCCTCAGTTCCTCCTGGCCCCATAGCCTAGCTCCCTGCCTTCCTCCTCATCCACCCCTGATGCCCTGTTCCCCCATTCCTCCAATCCTGTCCCCTTCTGGGGGAGTGACAGCCCATGGTCCCTGTACCAGGCAGAGTGTCCCAACAGGGGTGGCATGAACCAGACCGGGGGGGAGGTCCAGTTCCCAAGCCGTGGTCACAGCTGTGCCCCATGGCATGTCCTCCCTTCCCCCTACAAACCATGATGTATGACACTATCCTACTGCCTTCCTCTGCCTTTGCTAGAGCAGATGGGAGCTCAGGGCTTGGGGCTGGGCGCTGTCCTGGCTCCCCCCCGGCTCCTGGTCCCCAGGGTGGCTGTGCATGGGGACACGCGCCACCTCTCACTGTGGGCCTGGGATCCCTCCCGGTGCTGGCGGGATGTGCGTGTCGCTGCCGTAGGTTGCAGGGCAACCTGTGGATCCAGCTTTCCGGGGCGAAGTCCGCCTGGGCAGGAGCTGCCTGCCATGGCGGGAGGAGGCAGAAGGGCCATGCGGGGTCCCCGCAGCCGGGGCCAGCGTGGGGCTGGTGCTGCTTTCTGGACCACGCGGCACCGGGGTGGTCCCTGTTGCCGTGCTAGCCCGTGCCAGGCACAGCCCGCGGCTGCGCGGGGCTGGCCCGGGGTGAGCGGCCCAGTGTGGTGGCGTGGGGGAGCCTGGCCCCCGTGGCGGGGCGCTCCTGTGCCATCCATAGCACCCCGTGGCAGAGCTTTGGGGCAGGGAGAGGCTGGGGCCTGTTGGGGCGATGTGGGACGAGGCAGCCGGGCAGGGGCAGCGAGCCCAGCGGTGCTGTCGAGCCCCCGATGGCCCCGGCAGGGGGTCCCGCTGCCCCTCCAAGCCTGGCCATGCGGTTCTGTACTGAGCTGTGCCGGGCCAGGGCCGCACTGAGTTGTGCTGTTCTGTTCTGGGCTGCGCTGAGCTGTGCCGTGCTGTGCCAGGCTGTGCCGGGCCACGCCATGCCCTAAGGGCTGTGCTGAGCTGCCTCTGAGAAGGCAAGTTATTTCCAAGGCAGCTTTGCCCGGGCAACCCTAGGGAGAGTGAGGAGCCCTGTCCCCAAGCCCTGCTCCCTAAGGTGCCCTCCCTGCTCAGCACCCCGCGGCGCTGGGACGAGGGGCTGTGCGAGGCCGGGGCACCCGCTTGAGGAGACGAGCGCGGTGCGGGTGCCGCTTGCGGCAGGGGGGGGGGGCCGGGGGGGGGGGGGGGTCCCCAAGGGGTGTCCCCAAAACGGTGTCCCCAAGGGGGGGTGTCCCCAAGGGGGGGGTCCCTACCGTGTCCTCAGGGTGTCCCGCTCCCCCCCCTTGTCCCCAGGGTGTCCCCACAGGGTCCCCTCGGGGTGTCCCCACGTCGTCCTCAGGCCGCAGGGACGTCCCCACCGTGTCCCCATGGGCTTGGGGACAGCCGTGGCTGTGGCGCAGCGAGAGGAAGTGACACCAGGGCAACAGGGGCTGGGTCCTGTTCCCTGCCAGCATTGGGGTCCTGGGGGGTGGGGATGACCCTCCCTGACCCCCCAGGATTGATCTGGCGCCCGGTGTGGGTCACACCGGGGTCTGCGGCTCTGCCGGCTCTGGGCCCGTGCGCAGGCGCCGCGCTCCTCCCTGGGTGCGGCAGCCCGGGGACCCGTCGGGCTGGTTCGCTGGCCTCTCCCGGGGAGCCCCAGCGGGGAGGGGGCTGGGGGCACAGGACCCTGCATCCCCTGCCGGGGTGGCCTGGGGACCGAGCCCCCCGTGCTGGCTGTGGCACAGGGGGGACACCCAGCGCTGGGGAGCTCCAACAGCAGTTTTGCACGGGCAGAATCTGCCCTACTTCTTCCCGGACACATGGGTCCCCACCTGCTCCCGGGGGACAGATGTGTCCCCTGCCCGGACACAGATTTTGCCTGAGACCAGTCCAGAGTTTAGGCCTGTCCTTCCTGTCGGTCTCCCAGTTTTAGTCATCACAGCTTTGAAGACGGGGTCCCCTCAGAGCGGGCGGCGCTGCCCGAGCTCGGTGCAGCGCCCCGGTGACCAGGGTGTCAGGGGCACGGGCAGCAGAGCCGCAAAGGCAAAACCTCCCAGCTAGGGGGTCACCATGTGGCCTGGCTATTTTTGGCAGCATTGTCATCACGATGGTGAAACCGTGGCAGGCCCTGGGACGGGCGGCCACCGCTGGGCCGGGACCGCTGCCGCGCGGGTGGACAGGGAGACACGGGGCGGCGGGAGCTGAGCTCTTCGCTGTGCCAGGGCAGCGCTGGAACGGGTGTTTTGGCCGTGCCAACCCCCCTGACGTCTTTGCCTGTCCCACCCTGGTGCTGGGAAGCGCTGGCGTAAGGAGGGGGAAGCGTCTGGTCTCCTCCCAGCCCCGATTCCCATTTGGGTCAGACCTTATCCCTCCTCCCTGGCTCGTGCCGGGCAGGTGACGTGCTGAGGGCTGGAGAGGGGGGCCATGGAGGGGGGATCCTGGTGCCTGCCTTGGTGTGAGGGGGTTAAACCCCGACAGGGCAGGCGGGGGATGGTGGGAGGGCAGAGCCCTGGCAGCAGCTGCTGGCAGTGCTGTTGTTTTCCTGCGCTCGGAGATCCGGCTTTTCTCCTCCTCCTCCCGGAGCGGCGCTGGCGCGGGGCCCGGGCACAGCCTGGCCAGCAGCTGCTCGAGGGCTCTGACAGGGGCCTCGGCCTTCGCAGCAGCGTTGGGGGTCCTGGCTCCCTTCTCCGAGGGACGCGCTGGCCTCCGCAGAGGCGGGAGTGGACCCTTGCCCGCCAGGCCAGCGGCACCCCGGGGGTGGGGACACCCCCAAAGCAGGGGGCAGGGGCCGTGGGGTGACGCTGGCTCCAGCCCTGGGTTCCCAGCCTGAGGACCTGCCGCTCTTCGTCCCCAGGGCAGAGGGCAGCGCCACCTGCCCCACGTCACCAGGCGCCTGCCCAGCTCTGCGCCGTGTCTCCCCACCGGCACCGTGCGGCTGCCGGCGGTGCTCAGGTCTGTGCCCGCGGCACCCGGGGGCACCAGGGCCCCGTATGGAGGTGAGGGAGGTCACGTTCTCGGCGCTCGCCGCGGCTTGAGTCAGCGCGTGGCCGGGCGCTGCCCGCGGCCGGCGTCTGACGCTGTCCCCGGGACTCAGGTCACTGGAATGCGGGTGGCCATGGCCAAGGGACGATGACGGTGGCAGGAGGTCCCCTGGCTCTCTTTGTGCTGCTGGAGGCCAGCCCTGCACGTCTCTTGGCTCTCATTAATGGAAGCGACTATTAAAGTGGGAGGGTATTTTCTGCGGTAGCTCCAGCCCTCCCAGGAAGGCACTTTGTGGTGTGTCCGTCCCCTGTGTCCCCATTCCCCTCTGGCTTTTGGCTCTGTTGACGGATCCCTGGGGACCTGCTGTGTGTCCGCATCTGTGTTTGGGGTCAATCCTGCCAGGTGCCGGGCGCACTGCCCGCCCCGTCTCTTTTCCTCCCACAGGAGACACTCTGAGCCAACATGTCGCATCCCAGCGCGCCCCCTCCATATGACGACAAGAACCCCCTGTACCCGCCGCCGCCGGGGGGCTACCCCCAGCCCCACCACTATGGTGGGGGGTACCCGCAGCCGGGGGGCTACCCGGCAGCTGGGGGGTACCCGGCGGCTGGGGGGTACCCGGCGGCAGGGGGATACCCGGCAGCAGGAGGTTACCCGGCGGCAGGGGGGTATCCCCAGCCGGGGATGGCCATGCCCACCGTGCCCATGCGGTTTGGTAAGCTGGGAGCTTTGATATGGGGTGGGTGGGAAGTGCCTGGGGGCAGGATGTGCCTCAATGCAGGGGCCGCAGTGGTGCTGGAAGGGGCTCCCAGCATTTCTGAGCACCCTGGGCAGGGAGCATCTCTCGGATGGGGCTGGATCCTGCCCCACGTGGTGCGCTGAGGCCTCCCCTCCCTCCAGGTGATGGCTATGGTGAGGGCGCAGGCGAGGGCACCCCCTTCCAGCCAGGAAACTGGGACGACAAGAAGGTCCGGCACACCTTCATCCGCAAGGTGAGGGTACCCCCTGCTCGGCCGCGACACTGTGGCAGGGCACAGGGGACCGGCCCGGGCTGACCCACCGCCTCTCGCAGGTCTACGCCATCATCTCGCTGCAGCTCTTCGTGACAGTGGGGAGCGCGTCGGTGGCCGAGCCGTGCCCGGGGCTCTCCCCTTGCGGGGGCCTCTCTCACGCTGGGCCCTCCTGTCCCGTAGCGACCCTGTCTCCTCCTTCGTGCGGAGGAACATCGCTGTCTACTACACGTCGTAGTGAGTGCGGGGCACCGAGGCGGGTGTGGGGAAGGGCCGTGCCCGGCCTGGGCTGGGTTCTCAGCCGGGGCCTCTGCAGCCCGGCGCTGAGCACCTCGTCTCTCCCTCCGCAGTGCCGTGTTCCTGGTAACCTACCTGGTGCTGGCCTGCTGCCAGGGCCCCCGGTGAGTCACTGGGACCCTGGGGGGGTCCCCTGGCTCTGGATGCCACCCCTTAAACTGGGATGTGGGTCCCTGTGTGGGGGACGTGCATGGGACGCACACAGACGCTGTCACCACCTCACCTCTCTCCTCTGGTGTCGTCCCCAGGAGACGCTTCCCCTGGAACATCATCCTGTTGAGCATCTTCGTGAGTGGCTGAGTGGGCCCGGGGCTGCCAGGGGGCCTGGGGTGCCCGTCAGCAGCCCCCTCGCCCCATGGGACCTGTTGTGCTCTTAGCCCCCAGGGCAGGGGTGGGATCCAGCTGGCACATGGGGTGGGAGGAGGATGCTCCCATGGGATGGAATGGGGGCCGCCAGGAGCTGCCCCATGGCGGGGAGCAGTTCCCGCTGAAGGGGCAGGACAGACCCATGTCCCCAGAGGGTGAATCTGTCCCCCGGTTGCGTCGCTGAATGAGCCCTTCTCCTCTCTCCTGCAGACGCTGGCCATGGGCTTCATGACGGGGGCGATTGCCAGGTAGGCAGCGGGGGTCCCGGTCCCTCAGGGCAGGAGCTGCGGGCGCAGATCTGAGCAGAGACGCAGGGGTTGGAGCCAGTGTTTGCCTTCAATGCCCAGAGTCCCATCACCCTGAGCCACTTGAATGAGGCAGCCCAGGCCCCGGTGGGGTCCTTCCCTACCAGAGAGACCATAGCCATGGGCCATGGGGCTATAAATGCCCTCTGGGGTATTCTGGTGGTGACTCTGGTGTGCTCTCCATCCGCAGCACGTACAAGACCAACGCCGTCCTCATCGCTATGCTCATCACAGCCATCGTTGCCATCATTGTCACTGTCTTCTGCTTCCAGACCAAGGTGAGGTGCAGATGTGCCCTGCTCACGGGGGCAGCTTCAGGGTGCTGGGTCGCTGGGGACACCACTGTCCCCCCAGGGTGCCCTGTGGCCCCCGTGCACTCAGCAGGTCCCAAGCTCTCCCCTGATACCTCTGCCCTCGCGGCAGGTTGATTTCACATCGTGTCCTGGGCTCTTCTGCGTGCTGGGCATCGTGGTCATGGTCACGGGGATTGTCACGGCCATCGTCCTCTCCTTCAAATATGTGAGTCGGGGGGCTGCGGAGTGCCTGGCGGTCACCGCGCGGCAGCTGCGCTGGGGAGGACGGGAATGGCGCTGGGAGCGGGTGGAGGGCACCGGGAGGCAGGTGGGGAGCGGGGGCCGCGGGCTCCCGTGGGACAGGCTGTGCCCAGGCGGCCGTGCCAGCGCTGGGGCTCTGCCTCTCGGTCACCGTGCGCCCGCCTGCAGGTCATCTGGCTCCACATGCTGTACGCGGCCATCGGGGCCATCGCCTTCACCCTGGTGAGTTGGCAGCTCAAGCGCCCCCCTTGCTGGGCCGGGTCCCTGTGCGGAACCAGCAGCAGTGCCCGGGCTGTGCCCCCCAAACAGCCCCTCAGTGGGGAGAGCCCCCGGGAGGGCGCCGGCATCTGTGGCTGATTCCTACTGTGTCCTCCCCAGTTCTTAGCCTACGACACCCAGCTGGTGCTGGGGAACAGGAAGAACTCGCTGAGCCCCGAGGAGTACGTGTACGGCGCCCTGACTATCTACACTGACATCATGTATATCTTCACCTCCATACTGCAGATCGTGGGCCGGGACTAGCCCCTGCCCCGCACCGGGCGCCTTGCCTCCTCGCTGACCTCCGCTTCTCTCCTCCACAAAGCTGCTCCTCTCCCATCTCCTCCTTGCCCCAGGAGCCCGGCCCGTGGCCGGGCTGGGCTGGTGCCACGGGGCTCCTGCCGGCCCCGTCAGTGCCCCAGTGGCCGCTTTGGTGCTGGTGGTGCCCATGGCCCCTGTGCCGGGCCCTGCAGCCCTCCCGCTGCTGCAGACAGGCTCGGTGCCCCGCGAGGTGGCTGTCCCAGGCCCCTCTGCCGCTCACAGCAGGGACAAGGGGCTGTGCTCGGTGCCAGAGCCCCTGCGACCACCGTCACAGTGAAGGGCGCGTGTGGCTCAAGCACAGAGGGGGCCCCGGTGCCTGGGCAGGGCTGCCACCCCGTGCCGATCCGCGGGCTCCCTCTGCCCGTGCTTGGCGCACGGATGGAAGCAGCAGCAGAAGCCGGGGCCTGGCGCAAGGGCAGCTCTGCCCAGGGGCAGGGGGTTCCCTAAGCTTGTAAGCACGCAGGACCGC